CTTGGTCAAAATACAAGTGAAATTCCAACAGGGGCCTGTCCAACATAAGAACCTTCCTCAATCTGGCTGAACTCGTGTCCCTGTGTCCTCCACAATTTCTGCCACGTCCGAGTGATGCCCAGGCCTGCTCGTGGGAGTGAAAGCTCTCCTGCCGGCTCGCGCGCGGATTACAAGATCTGCAAAGACCATGGCTAGTAGTGATTCGAAAGGCATATTGTCTAGCTTGATAAGTACTTGTTGCAAGTTTGTCAATCATCCAGCCAAAGGAGTGCTGAAGCTTGGCCCATCTGGGGTAATTACAGAGAATATGGTCAGATTCTGCTTCATGTCTAGTCTACCCAAAATAAGCAACTGGTTGATAAAAAGCAAATCGTCAGAAAAACTGATCTGGTTCATCTCGAATGTCAGCTTCCAAACAGGTTGACTGCGAAAAACGGAGAAAAAGGGATCTCGAAATCCAAACAGCCTTCATGTCAGCGAAGCCTGGCGAACGATCAACCCTAAGCTTAGGGTTTTATATATATGTTCAAGCTGGTCAAGGGCAAATATGTAAGATGGAGCCAAACGTTGACCCAGTCAGATTGGTTTCATCTTTTCAGTTGCCCAATACCTGGACCAAACAGTCAAAACCAAAAGGTTGAAAGGTCGGCTCTGAACAACTGAGTCTCGGAAAGGAAAAGAAGAGGTTACGGAGTAAAATTCCAAACCCGGGAAATATGGATTCAAGCCGTTGGCCATCCTGCTATGGTATGGGTTCAGGTTGCCTGGTTCTTCCGGAAAAGTAAGACAATCTTTGTTTTTTTTGGGGGGGGATTGTCTCTATGTGATGCGAACCCACCATTTTTCTCAGAATCGGCTGAACACCAGGAGATGAGGGTAGGTCCTTCGCCTTCAAACTTGGCCTGGGCTGATAAAACTCAGCTTTAACATGAAGCCACCTGCAACCCTCCCATCCGCCATGCAACTTGATCGGGGGGTGACCGGGTGGGGGCGAAGCAGGGAGACCATGCCACTCATAGCGACCAGAGTTCTGGTGGGTTCCAGGGTAAATCTGGTGGTACACCGTATGGACATCTTGAGTTGTATCTCCCCGACATGCAGATAATCTAAAGCCTTGTGACTCCTATTCTGAGAGCCTCGCTCTAAGAAGCAGCCAAGGTCAGAACATACTTGAGTGTTGGTCTGATCAGCCTGCACTGCTGCCACTCTCGGCTCCATTTTGTGGTCAAACTTCCTAGCGATCTAGGGCCATAGTTCACTTCGTCGTAGACTTAAACCCGCAGGGGCCTTTTATGACCAGCCCTACTGATGGACAAAATCCTCTTAGGCACCGCCTAAGAAACCCTGGAATGATTCGATTCACCTGTAAATACCAACAAACAATGATGGTTTCAACCGTGGCTTCATTTCGTGGTGCAAAATTGATTTCGCAACCATCCACAGTACCACCCTAATTAAACCACCTCTAAGGGCTATGACCATCCCAACCAATTCCCAGCCGCTACCTCGCCCAACTCCCCAGCCCATCCCCTCGAAACGCCGCCTCCCCGAGGGACTGCGCCAAGTCGTCAGAGCTCCCGAAGGCGGAGAAGGGCTTCGGCTGCTGCCGGGATCCATCGATGGCTCCGGCGACGCGTTCTCTTTTTTTTTAGCGGAGCTTCCCCCCCTTGGCTCACCCAGAAAAGTACACATAGTGCCATATGCCGAAAGCTGTTCCACATGCAGTCAACCTTGAACTGTCGAATATGTTCCAAGGAGACCCCGATCTCCAAGAATCTTGGCGACAAGGGATTGGTTTTTGGGATTCGAATCAGAATAAGACCCAAACCAAGCTCAGAACAGATGGTGGCTTTGGAAAATCGCTGAACATGACAGAATAGGGACACCCCTGCAGCTAAGGCAAAGGTTTGCACGCGCGCCAAGCTTTGGACAAACAATCGAAAGGCCTCCATCCATCCATACAGCAAAACAACTAGCAAACAGTGGTGTTGTTATAAACGCAAAGGGACGTCAAGGTACGCAAAGCGACCCGGAGGAGTCGCATGAGGCTGGTGATTCTCCTGATTCAAGCCCTCCTGTATCAGAGATGTGTCCCCCCAAAAACCATTTGGCCAGCCACGTAATCGAGTAGTGGCTTTCGGCCTTTGGGGGTGGTCATGTTTCAGGGGATGTGGCCTTTAGGGTCCAACGACCGGCCCTCGATGGCCGAGTTTGATGGAGTTTGCGAGGATAAGTGGGTCTCACCATGCGTCGGATCCTTTTAGGTGAGTTTCTCTTTGGACACCCTTCAAACCCAGAGAAGGCACGGACTGAGCGTTACATGGCCTTGAAAGCCGGGCAATCCTCAGGAAGTTTGCCACGATTCAACCAAAGCCGTGAATTCGCTTGCCTCGGCATGGATACAGGACCCTTCCCTGATAGTTCAAGCTCATCACGCGAACCTTTGTACGCAACCTACAGCATGGCAAATTGCCATGCCGAAACGATCGAAAGTCCGAAACTCCAAAATTTGCATTTTGTTTGCCAACCTCAATCAAACGTCCTTTGCCAGCCAGTATTGCAAACAAACTGCTTGAACACTATCTGACTCAATGTGCAAATGTCCCCCTCCATGTTGTTGTGTTGCCTATCTAACACCGCGCGTTTAACACAGGAGAGACCAAATGAAGCATCTTTCCTAACTAAAGTGTTTTGGTGTGGGTCGTTGGTTTAGGGTTGGTGTCGGGGGCTTAGGTTTGGTTTGGGTCGGGTTTAGGGTGGACTTTTTGGTTGGCCTAGCGAGTAGGCTTGGTTTAACCCGGGGCGAGGGTGAGCAAGGTCAGCGAAGGGGGGGGAGGGGGTGCAAAATAGCGGGGTCGTGGGTGAAAAACAACAGGTTGGTGGTGAAAAACACAAGGCGGAGGGTGAAAACAGCAAGGTGAGGGGTTGAAGCTTCCTGAGAGGAGGGTTGCAAAAACAAGGTTCCTGTACATGGTTCCCAGACAGGGTTTGAGGGTTAAAGGGTTCAACCTAACAAGGTTGGAGGGCCCATGAGCTCAGGAAAAGGGGAGGTTCATTTGGCCTTCGGACATCCCAGCCAAGTGAGCCTGGTCCCGAACTTAGCGGGACATGTGGGGCCTTAAGATGTCTAAAGGTCAGCTTTGGACAACTCAACAGGACCAGAACCAAGAGGAAATGGCTGGTTCTTGTAACATAAACCGAAGATTGAACACAATAGAATCAAGCCCTAAACTCCTGGGCCGTTTTGGGTTGACAATATTTGTGGGTCCAAACCCACCAACCAGAAACGGATTCTATCAGTTTCACCGAACAACTCCAAACACAGCCCCTTCTTTCAATGTTTGCCACTTACTGGTTCACGCCCAAAAAGGTGTACTGACCTGCTAAGTTCATCGACCAGAAACAAACAACAACCACTCGTTGGCCCTTGACTAAGGCAACTTGACAGCAATAACAAAAAGCAAGTTTGCCAACTCACCAGGTGAGTAGTACAACTTTCTAGGGGTTGATTCCTTTTTTATTCTTTTCAACCATCGTTCTCTTCAAAAAAAAAGAAAGCTGTGTTCCCAGGGTTTTCGCTGGCTTTCTTGAAAGAAGGATTCCAGGAAAGAATGGGGAAGCAACCTTGGGAAGCGAGTCAGAAATGGTCAAAAGAGGCCGCAGGTCGCTTGGTGCCGCGCCTCTGTGCAGTCCACAGACTTGGGCTTCCAACACTTGGCGTCAGAAGGCGCCGAGGGGCAAGGCCTCGGGCAGAGAGACGGCCTATGTCCTCAGAGGGCCTGGGTGGCATACTGTGGACGGTGGCAAAATTCATTTCGCACCACCTAAGAAGCCCTGGCTTCGGATGATTCCCCTGGAAAAAACCAACAAACAGCGGTTTCCCACGGTTTCAAAGTGGTGCGAAATGGATTTCGTCCATCCACTAGGAACAACATCTGCCTGATGCAGACGACAAGGGCGCAGCTTCGGAATGTGACTTGCAATGGTGAAGGCTCGTTCAGTTGATGACCATCCCTACTAAAACTCGAGTGGTTTGGCCAAGATGCCAATGGATCCCAACTTGGTCCAGCACCGTGGGATCATAGGTCTGTGACGTAGCTCGGGATAAACAACTCTGTCTCCCTGGATCGGAAGAGGGGCCCTTTTGAGGTTCATTGTGGAAAGGACAGCGTGACGCCAGGCTTCAAAACTGGAGGGTGGAATATTGGTGCTGATACTGTGGACAAACTCCAATTCGCATCAGCTGCTAGTTTGAGTCATAGTCAAACCCCGGTATTAAACTTGTCTACCCTGAATGTACAGAATTAAACAGGCGGATGTCCGCACCCATTTATGGCTGGGTTCATCCCGTACTAACCTTCATCTACCCGGGGTTTGAGCACGTGGCTGTGGATGATCTTCGCATCTAGAGGGTTTCATCTGTCGTAGAACTTTGTCCTCAACATGTACTTGGGGCCAATCAGCCCAGCGAGCTCTCTGATCCGCCTCCAAACTGACCCCGGATGATGTAGAACAGGTCCTGTTAACAGGTCAAGGTATCCCCCTTAAGTGATAAACTCCCACACCCACAAAATACCCCCCTATAAATAAACAGGGGTTGATTATTTCGGGCTTCCTATTAACATGGTCATGCTTCCCCTGACAGGAATCTCTAAATCTCGGACCATGGCACAAGCGCGGTCGCTTTTTTCAGGTCGCATTCGGCTCTCCTTCGGCTGCACGGGACAGGCGGGCCGCGCCTGTGGTTCGCGCGGGCCATGCGCACTTTGCGCCAGCCGCCGTTCATTCCAACCACAGCGCCCAGCCCTCAATCTATGCAAGTCCAACCAAGAGGATGAGAAAACACAAGCACCAGTCAGCAACTCCCATGGATTTCTTCAAAATGTTGTTTTGGGTATTGAAAGTTCATAGTTCGATTTGGTTGCACACAGCAATGTGTTTCATTGGTTCGAGCTCATTTTCCGAACGTCAATTCGCAAAGGGAGCCGGGCGCGCATCTCTCATCCCGGCAATCCACCCTCTACTCTCTGCCACAGCTGCAGGCTACCATCCTGCGAGCCGATGAGGAAAATCCCATCGTGGCCCGCGCAAAGCAGGCTATCTACCTTGTGGCCGGGGAGCGCCTGGAACTCCGTCTTGAATTCAAAGGATGGCAGCCTCAGAGTTCGAACGAAATCAACTCAGCCCAAAAGACCTGAACTTAAAAGGGTACTGGTCCAAGCGAACAAAACCAAAGGTGAAAAGGTCGATTCGCTTTGAACAACTGAGTGAAAGGTGAACCTTAAGGACCTTTGGCCACTAAGAATGGTTTAACACAAAAGGGGATCTACCAAAAGGTCAAAAGCTTGGCGCACAGCAGCTGGATGGTGCTCACTTGTCCATGTGCGTGACCACAAAGCACTCGAGGCCCCGAGTCGAGTCCAGCTAATTTCAGGATGGGACCCGCGTCCAAAGCCTTTGACTCAGTCTTCAGGTTGCCCTCTGCATCAAAGATCCTCAGACCAGCAAACATTCGAATGAATTCCCATAAATGACTCAATCAGTTGGCATACAGGAACAGATGGCAAATCAATAATTTCGTTGAAATGGAAGATGTTCCGCAGTTTCGTGGGGGAACTCGTCACGGGAGTCTGCTACCTGGTGTCGCAGAAGGCTTCAAACTAAAGCGTCACTATGTAGTTGATGAATTGGCCAAAGGTGGAGGGCCTGGCAACCACGCAGGTTCAACACATGGGTTTCGGGAAATCGAGGGGGCCCTGTCCGATTGAAAGCCTCATTCGAGTCCCCCTCACATTGGTATCCGCAGTCTACGCCGAGCAACCCCCACCCTCCACACTCACGAGCTTACGACCGTTACAACAACTTCCTCCGCATCCTAGAGACTTCGACTCCAAATTCCCAGACTGGCAAGCTGCTCTGGCGGGATACTGGCGGGATACTGGCGGGATCCACTGGCCGGCCAGATACTCGGCAGGATCCACCGAGATACTCAGTGGGATACTCGACAGTTTCACTGGCGACTCAGCGGGATACTCGGCGGGATCCACTGGCGGGCTGCTCTGGTGGGATACTGGCGGGATCCACTGGCGAGCTACTCTGGGATACTCAGCAGGATGCTCGGCGGGATCCAATGGCGGGCTGCTCTGGTGGGACACTTGGCGGGATCCGCTGGCGAGCCGCTCTGGCGGGGTACTTGGAGGGATCCACTGGCGAGCCGCTCTGGCGGGATACTCGGCGGGATCGACTGGCGAGCCGCTCTGGCGCAATACTTGGCGAGATCCACTGGCGAGACGCTCTGGCGGGACTCGGCGGGATCCACTGGCGAGCAACTCTGGCGGGATACTCGGCGGGATCCACTGGCGAGCTGCTCTGGCGGGATACTCGGCGGGATCCACTGGCGAGCTCTGGCGGGATACTGGCGGGACTACTGGGCGGGATCCACTGGCGAGCAGCTCTGGCGGGATACTCGGCGGGATCCACTGGCGAGCTGCTCTGGCGGGATACTCGGCGGGATCCACTGGCGAGCAGCTCCGGCGGGATACTGGGCGGGATCCACTGGCGAGCAGCTCTGGCGGGATACTCGGCGGGATCCACTGGCGAGCTGCTCTGGCGGGATACTCGGCGGGATCCACTGGCGAGCTGCTCTGGCGGGATACTGGGTGGGGGGTTGTGTAGAAGCATCGCAAACGCGGATTCCAACATAAAATCTAACAACCCCTTCCTGTCAGGTGGGGAAAAAAGAAGAAAAAAAGGAGGCAAGCTTCATGCGGTTTCCCGTTAGCTGTCCTTTGAAATGAGTCCAACAAAACTAGCCTCAGCAAGCGCCCAAATAGCCAAGGTGGAAACTGACAGGTTTCTGGTTGCCAGGGGTCGACCCATTTGGAAGCAATGCCAAGTCCTTCTAGACTCGTGGTTCTACCGAGACGACGAGTCAAGACTGACTCATACAGGAATCACTTTGATGTACCGGATCCCTACAAAAAAGGATGAAGTCCGCGGTTTGCACCACTGCTCATGCCAATTGTGACCAGCTGGGTCAAGGGCCTCAGCATTCCTGGTGCGCCCTCATGGGCGCAGGTGTATGCTTTCGGCTAGAAATGGACCCTTTGGTGGACATCATGGACATGAGGCAGGGACACCCCCAATGAAAAGAAGTGCCATAGCTCCATTCATCCCCCCTTTTTGAGCGTTCAGTGGGGCAGCCTGTCCCATCCTTGGATGTTGTGCATCTAAATGAATAAAGGATAAATCATCATATTCTCCAAAAAATGGTGAATTTGTTCAAAGCAAATCATACACCCTCCTACGAACTAACCTGGAACGTGACCAGAAAAGTCCCGGAAGACCATTTTCCCTTTAAAGGGACCCCGCTCGCGCGTTTCGAATGGATCCCACCGACTGGACTCCAGGGCTCCTGATCACGCCCTCGGAGTAGGCCACGATCACGTGGCCCTCCACTCCGCCGGCTTTCCGCCCGGCCGGTGCTCAATTTGGGGAGTGACCTTCCGGGTTTGGGAAGAAGCCGTTTGGGGATGCCCTAGGAAACCACAAGGGATTGTCTATGGTCAGTCCCCCATTCCCTGCTGAGAACCAGAGCAAGGCCGGCAACAAACACAACGCTACCAAGCTAAGTGGAAAACAAGTTGGGAGGTGTTTTCCTCGTGCAAGTTCCTTTCGGGTTCAGGTTCTGCTGAAATTATTCCAATACTTTCCAAGACCCAAAGTCGCGGAAATCCGAGGTCAACGGGCCCTCGGATCGGACATCCGTCAGCTCTCCACGCGAAGGCAGACGTTCGATGGCTTCGGCGGGGGCAAACTACCCTGGACGAGAAGTCGTAGCTTTGAATCACCAAAGGAGAGATGGACACAAATTTCCAATCATGGACGAGAAGTAGAGATATGGAAACCAATTTCCTCAAATTTGCCCAAAGGGCCCGGAAATAACAGATTAAATAACCATGGAAGCTTGACGGCAGGGTTTGGGAAGACTACTTTCCTTTTGGGAAAGCCCCCTGTCCACTTCCCTGCGCCCAAACTGGAGGGAGGAATCCTACTGGCCAGATCCTAACCCCAGGTGAGGTGTTTCATCATGGGCACGTGTTTCAACCTAGAGTCTCCATGACCCTTAAAAAATGGGTCCATGAACTTAATTTTGGGTAATGACCCCATTATTTAAGGGTCATGGAGACTCCAGGAAGCAGCAACCCCCTCCAAATGCCCTAGGTGCGTGTTGTTCTTGCTAATGAAGGGCTTTCAGGTCATTGATTGAAATGGACCGGGATTGAGACATGCACACAAACAACCAACACACACACACACAAACACTGACACTTCCAAAATAGGCTCCGGAGTGGTTTTCGGAGCAACCTTCAACGAGGGATCCAGGGTTCTTCTGGCATTCCAGGCTGTTGGGGATGCCTGGGCTCAGTGTTCTAAAAATCTGCAAAAATGGATTCCCCAAGTACAAGACCATTGTGTGGTGAGCTCGGCTGGGTTTGACCTCAATGTTGTTTAACCCGGTTTGGACCCCAAAACACACAAACGGGGGACGCTGTTCGATCTGCCTGGAACTCCAAGATGTCGGTCACCGACTTGGTTGGCGGCAGGAGCTTTGTGACCTCAGTCCAGCATAGGGTCACGATTCTGGGTCAATGGAGGAAACGCGTGGAACATTTAAATTGATGGGCGCATAGTCCTAAACTCGGCTGCTTTCTGCTCCCCTGCTAAAAGTTTAACTTTTAGTGGAAAACCCCATTAGTTGGCAAAAAGCTAAAGTCCTAACATCCAAGCAACATGCACCAAAGCAAGTGTCTTGCTTGCATTTAGAGGGCACCCGAAGCTGACCCAATCTTGCCCACAAAGCCATTGATCTTTCGAACTCAAATTCTGCCATCAGGAAGTGGCGGGAAAGGCCGGGGAGCCCTCCACCTTCCAGCACTGGAAAGGTTCGGAAGGAACCTAAGGGCTCTGAGGCTTGCAACACCATGGGTTCTAGCCTCCAGGTGCGAAAACTCGCCTTCCTCCGAGAAATTAAGCTGTTTGGCCGGAAGGGAATTGACAAAAAAACAATCGAAGAGGGCAAGAAGCTAAGCTAAGCTGGGTGTTGAAGTTGCGGGTCTGTTTTGTTGTGTTTTTCTTTGTTCGATATCTAATATCTGCTTATTGTAAGTTTTTGTGTTTTTTGTTTTTGTTTTTTTTCAGGGGAACTTAAACATGAAACATGGGCGACTTAGCACCCAACGGGGGCCGAATCTTATGGTCAACCCCCCCCAAACAACACAAAAACAGGTACCAAAGCGGCGTCTTCCCGTGTCTCCTCCGCCGCAAAAAAAACGCTCCGACCCCCGAATGCGGACGTGGCCTTCAGGGAGGCGAGGTCCAACATGGCCAGGCCGTAGTGACCCCCGACGAACAAGTGGCCCCCCAGCACGTGGATCTTGTTGATGGGCCCCGGCAGGCTCTCCTCGAAGACGAGAAAAAACAAGACTTTGGCGGAAAAAAAAGAAAAGAGATCTTGGCACCTGAACAACTACACGGATTGAAATGAACCCAAAGAAGAACATGGCTCCTGAAATGAAACGGATTGCAATGACCCCGGACAAGTTGTGGCCTCTTGCGGTTCAGGCTTCAATAAAAAGACATCCAGATATGGCGGATAGTGCTTATCATATTGAAAGAGAGTGTTTTTTCCACCCGGAAGGTGGACCACAAAATGTCCGTGGCTTGAGATATGGTTTAGGGCTTGGAGTACCGAGCAGGTCAACGAGAGGCCCCCCAATACCATAGACATCATCTTTGGGCCCAAATTTGAGTGAGCTTCCTGTTTTCCTTCGGCGATGCTCTCCTGAGGCGCTTTTGTGTGTGTGTGTGTGTTGCTTTGAAAGAAACGGATGACTTGCGCTACCGCTATAGCCTGGAGGCTTCTTCACTTTGCCCCAAACATCCCCGAACCGATACTTTGCTCGCTTGGGCCTGGGTGAGTTGGTACAGCGACGGACCCTTGTGTAGGGGTCGCCTGCTTTGCTCTTTGTCAACCTCAAGGGTCGCAGCATTGGGCACGCTTGGCGACCAGGTCACTTGAGTGGGGTTGCGTTTGAAGGCAACACTGCAACCACCAAGCCTGGGGGGGCGTCCACATTCCATTTGCATCACTTTCACTTTCCAGAACGGGAATTGCCCTCCTTTCCCAATTCGGCATTGGGTGAACATCAGGCAAACTCCTTGTTTATTAACCAAAGTCTCTTCTAAGGAAAAGCAATGCGCATCCCCGACCAATGTGGGCCAGTACAACCAATTCACCTGCAACAAACAACCGCTGCAAGAAAGGAAACTTTGGTAGTTTAAGTCTACCTTAGGGTAATCCAAATCCTGGGACCACCAAAATCCGTGTCGGGATCACACGCCCCGGATCCATGGCCGGAATACTTAGGATACACATTTAGAGTATAGATTCTTGAGAGGTTTGCTTCACCCATCAACTGAATCTGCTGGGGGGGGGTGCTAGCGCCTGCAACCCTCCAAACCGAACATGGCTCAACCCGTGCTATGTCTAGCGCGAGAGTTCTCTGCCAACTGCGGCAACCGCAAGGGAACCTATGATTTCGCAATCAAAAGCTGACATGACACGGTTCTACCCAAATCACCCGACGACTCACAAGGATGGAACACCAGACCTAGTTGTAATTTGGATCTACGCAGCTAGCATTTAATTGTGGCTCAACTCACCAGACTAAACCAGCCAACCAATCGAACAAACATGCTACAAGCACCTAAGTGACTAGAAGTTGGTTTGTAGGGTCCGATACACGACATTACATGCTGACAAGGAAAAACATCATGTGCAATCGGCTAGCCGTTTATATTGCCTATAGCCAACCAGACCGGCCAAGCCAACCCATGTAAACCAAACCAAACAAAACACACCAACCAAACCAAAAGCAGAGTCAAGCAAGCCAGCCAAGCCAACCAAGACAACCAGGCCAACTAGGCCAACCAAGCCAACCAGGCCAACCAAGCCAACGAATCCAACCAAGCCAACCATCTCCTCGATGGTATGGGTGCAGTTGAAGGTCTTCGCCGCACTGTCCATCTGCCACAAGCCTCAGCAACCGTCACTTCCGATGAAGTGGGTTGGCCAACAAAAGTCCTGGAACTTGATTTACCCTGAGTCAGTGCCCCTCACTCCCGATCGAGTGGGTTGGCCAAAACAAATATGAACTCATTTACCACTAAAATGGTCCAAGCCGAAAAGTCGAAAGTCCAGGAACTCAGGGAGTGCGGGCCCCATGCCGTGCAAGGACAACCAACCGTGTACGCAGTGGAAGCCCACGGATGAAACCCTTTACATACTGGGATAAACCACCTACCAACTGGCGCAGGATATTGTCCATGCACAGTATTGCACATTGAACAAGGAGCTCCACCTACTTTGCCGAAAGTGGCCATGTTTTTGTGCTTGGGAACGGCTCCTTTGCTTGCTATTGTTCTAGCACTTCTTTCGGCCCCGATTTGGCCCTTGCATTCACGTCCTCTGGCCCAGGGTTGGATTGATGTCGCGAGCCGATCCATACAGGTCGGTGGGGTCACCCCGAAGCATATGCCGCCGAAACTGGTCCCACGGGCAAGATCTATGACCTGAGAGACTCATCCAAAGGCAAAGGTAGCTAGTCCAATGCGTGATCGATAGGCGATGTCTTCCAACATCAGGGCGTCTAATCGTTCAAAGGTGGCCTGACCAGGCATACAATCAACATGTGACTCGCTAGTCAAGACACATTGAGGTGAGGTATTGTGTACTGCATTCTGTCTCTTGTGCTTTTGTGCGGCTCCAGCCCCGTCAGAAAAGCCCCCACAAGTGGCAAGCCCTCACAAGGAAGTAATTGTTGCCTTGCATGCTGACAAACAAGACGTATGCGACAGAGACGGACGTGCGGAGGGACATGTTGCTTTTCTCACTCAGTCCCCCCGCGCATCCCAGCTCCACTATAGAAGGAAAAAGCTGTTCTCTTTTTTCTTTTTTTTTAAGCCCCTTGTTTATCTACTATGCAGGGAAACAGAAACGGACTGACTAGTACATGTAGGCTTTCGTTTCTGGGATGGAACCTGCCAACTTGAACTTACACAATATCCACAGGGGCATGGAATCACTGAACTAGGGGACCCCTCCAAAATCATGGATTTCCATTTGGTTCCCCAGTAAACACCAAGCCAAAGAAGGGCCCCACAAAATACACACCCAACGATTGCTTTCGGTGTCGCATGCTGCTGCGACCAAATTGTGTCAGCTGGCATTGGAACTTGGTCAGCACACAGACCCCCCCTCCCAACCCCGCTTCCTGGCTTCCTGGTGGAAACTTGATGTGTGCCCCAAGTCATGCCGCTTGCAGTAAATGAGAGCAAATATTCACTGTTCACATCGGAAGATGCCTGGCTGCTCTAAAGCCCTATCAAGCCTCATGTCGGGTACATGTCTGACATAAACAAATGTTCAGATCGTAACTTGCAGGAAACAGACGGCCGAGCACAAGCTGCCTCACACGCAGCTTTCCACATTTTGGCGCGCCAAGATTCTTCCACACATCTTCCAAAACGATCCAAAAACTAACTTTGGGGTGTTGAGATGACGTGTTCCCTCCCAACCCCCGCATTTTTTCCTATGGTCTGATAATAAAAAAGGATTAAACAAAAAAAACCAAAACAAAAAAACAACGGAAGAACTTCTCATCCCCCTCAAGAACTTCTCATCCCCCTCCGGGCGCCGAGGCCAAGGGCCGAGGGGCGGAGCTCTTTGTCCGCACTGCCCGTCATGAGAACGCCCTGGTGCACCAACAACGTGGTGACTCGCTTGCTGTGGCCCTTCAGCACGGATTGCGTGCCTCGCAAAAAGCAAACGACGCCGAAAGATGCGGAAGACTTCCGGAAACAGGGCAGCTCTATACGCGGATCTCCTAGTGCTCACTTGCCCAAAGGACCTGCAAATAAAAGGTTAACCTTTTGGGACCTCTACTAAAAATAGACCAACAAGGGAAAACCAAAAGGTCAAAAGGTCGGCTTTGAACAACTGAGAGTGGCTTGGAACACAGACAAAAAGAGACACACACACAAACCGACTCACAACCACATGTGTCTCGCGCGAAACGGTTCATGTACATCAAGAGCAAAGACCCTATTCTAAAGGTTGTGCTTGTGTCCTCCGTACACAATCAGACCAGGGTACACGCACCCCTGTCTCGTTCCTTGCGAAGTGGGTCCTCAATCCGATGCCAAATGGGAAACTCGCGGGCAACAAAACTTGGTCTGGATTCGTGGGGTCAGTTCGGGGCAGTTGGCAGGAATTAGCTGGTGAGCCTTTTGGAGGAATGGACAATCCTGTTCCCAAACAGTCTGAGTGGGGAAGTCGGTCAAGACCATGATAAGAGATCCCCAGGGAACATGCCGCAAGAAGCCCATCAAACTGGCTCTCTGCCATTCCCACAAAATCCAGGTAGGGAATCTATACCAACAATTGACCCATTTGGGGGCAAATGTTTCACACGGTGAGCGATTGGATTCCTCCCTTCTCCGTAGCCCAAGGCACCGTCTTGGGCGAACGCCTGGATCTGACCGTCCCAGAGCCCGCAGAAGAGCCAGCCTGAGACAAGCTGTGCCCGCTGGTTCAATCACATCTCATAGGACAAATGTCAAGGGCATTCTCAGTTATAAGTTTTGTAGGCATGGACCAGCATGGAGACTATATCCCACTTGAGGTGCACATACTGCCTAGCTGAAAACATGGTGGTATGAAAGCATCCATACCTCCGAAACTAAGACATGGATTATTGTGTCATTAAGTACAAGGAGGCCAAGAACTGTCGGAGTCCCTAACTCTGAGAGCCCCGCCCCCAAATGACGTGAGCTCCTCGTGTTTCGGACCCGAGGACAGATTATTATGATTGATTCCAGTTCTTAAAGCATTTTTCACATACACACATACATACAAACGCACGCGTGCAAGCATCGCCCCCAAAACATGGCATCCATGTGAGGCTTTTGGGAAGAAACACACATAACTTGCACGTGGACAATAATTCCTGGCATGGGGAGCACCCTTGTTCATGTGGCCTTGCCCCTGCTTGATTCTGAAGCCATACAAAAAGGCAAGCATCTTGTTTAGGACGCCCCTGGATTGGTCAGCTTGGGTGACTTGACACCACGTGACAACGCCATGGAGGCTGCTTAGAACATATGGGACACATGGAACAAGAGCCCTTGCCGGCGGGGGGGGGGGGGGCAAAAACATTCAGGGCATCATGTGCACTCAAATGGAACAAGGGACACCCCAAGGTTAAACATCGGCTTTGGGAACTGAACATGAGGGAAAATTCCCCTTGGAATGTCCAAAGGGACCCCAGGGTGTCCCACAAGTAACTTTGACAACCCTCGAAATGAAACTGCGAGTTGGAGGTGAGTGTAGACGCTTCCCTCCAATTCGGTGGTTTGGGGCCCGGTGTTCTGGCATGGCGTCCCGTTTACCCTCAACACCCAGCGGTTCAAATCCAACCAATCGAAACCACCGAGGGGCCCGAACCAAGGGGTTGCCTGGCTTCTGTACGTGAGGTGGAAGGATGACTACACCGCTCTGGTGGAATTGTGCCAGCTACTTTCCTGATGTCTTATCCAGACTTAGACCCCCTTTTTGCCGGAAGGTGCATGAAACAGAAACAGGTGAAAGGAGCCAAATGCCAAAAGCTGGGTTGAGTCTGGCAATGTCTTGGCCATCTGGGGTACACAGAAAAAACAGAGTTTCTGAGTCTGTTCCATATGTGGTCTACCCCGCTTTCAAGTAAACATATATATATATATATGGCCATGGGTCACAACCCCGTACCCACAGTGAACATCCCAATCCCCCCCTAAAATAGACTAAAATGGGTGGTGCACCTACCCCAAGATGGTACCAAAACGGTTTTGACCCACAGCCATATTGATCTATCTATAAATTATGAGTATGTTCCTTATTTGGTCTACCCCAATATATATATATATATACACTTACATCTATATGCTAATATATCTCTATGTATATATACCTGGACCTTCCAACATGTAAAATTAACGCCGTTTCCCAAAACAGCAATAATTTTCGCCGGTTGCTGAAAACAACGCTCTTTCGGAGAAAAAGCGCTCGCTGTGAGTTCAGCTCGGAACCAAGCAAAAAAAACGCCGGTTCGCCGGCAAATTACGCCGTTTCGCCGGCAAATTACGCCGTTTCGCCGGCAAATTACGCCGTTTTGACGGCAAATTACGCCGTTTTGCAATTTTGATTGATGCTAGAGTGTGCAAACACTGAAAACTGCCGGAAGGCGAAAATCATCGCCGTTGGGTCAAAAGACATAGTTTTTGACAAAACAGCAATAATTTTGCACATGTTGGAAGACCCAGGTATATATATATGTTTGGAGGAAAGCCCAAAATGTCAGGACCCCTTCCCGACTTTCACTTCGCGGAGCCGTTGGAGAAGAGCAGGGAGTGGCCGCTGTCCGGCAAGGGCACCGACACCTCCGGCACCAGCTCGAAGACGCTACCGTTGCGCGTGGGCTTCCAGCGCTTCATGGTCTTGTCCTGGACCCAACCCATTTGCCGATTTCCAGTTGTGTTCTTCTTGTTTTTCTTCTGGTTGCTTTCCTTTTGTCTGTGCTTTTTCCTTTTTGTTGATATGTATAATATGTATATATATATATATATGTTATTCCTTTAAGCCTTCCATTTGCCGGTTGGTATTAAAGGCATCGAATTAAGTTTTCTCAAAGCGAATTAAACCTTCCATTTGCTGAAATGGATATGTGATATGTGTTATTTTCCGCTGTTGCTTCTAAGGGGAATATATCACTATTGGACATATTGTCAAAGTTCCTCTGTTTTTTGGGTACTTCGCCTGTTGGTTTTGAAGGGAATCTATGTTTGTGTTGTTTTTGTCTTTTCCCTGGGGACTTAAAGAAATGGAGGTAACTTGTGATCGTGCGATAGGGAATGATTTTGCGTGACCGGGTCTTGGGAACGACCGTTGCTCGAAAAAGAGAAACCACAAGGTATGGTGGATAGGAGTCATTCCGTTTCTCATTCCCTGCTGAGCATCAGCAAGCCAACCGGGATCCTTGTTATCAACCTTTTGGGGACACCGTTTGGCATAGCAAGCGTGAATCCCGTTGACCGCTTTCTTGGGGCACCCGTTTGGCATAGCAAGCGTGAACCCTGTTGGCCGTTCTTTTGGGGCACCCAGTTTGGCATAGCAAGTATAAATCCTGTTGACCGTGTTCTGGGGCCACCCGTTTGGCATAGAAAGCGTAAACCCTGTTGACCGTTTTTTTGGGGCACCCGCTTGGCATAGCAAGCGTAAAACCTGCTAAATGTTTGCTGGGGGCACCCGCTTGGCATAGCAAGCGTAAACCCTGTTGACCGTTTTTTGGGGCACCCGTTTGGCATAGCAAGCGCAAAATCCCAAATCAGAGTGATCATGTTGACCGTTTTTCGGGGGCACCAGTTTAGCATGGCAAGCCAAAAGACCTTAGCGAGGCAAACTCGCAATCGCAAATCACTGCGTTTTCAAATCGCTGTGCGTTAAAAGCAGGGAATCGCAAACGCAGCGATTTGAAATCGCTAGCTTTGAATCGCTGCTTAGGGGCTCTCATTGCGAAACACAGAAAGCATTGGTTTTGACATTGCCTTGCTTTCTCTGCACGGGAAAGGGCCAAAACTGATATCTGAAGCCACAAGCTTTTGCGTCTGAAGGATCTTCCTCGATTCCCAGTCGCCCTCAGAATCTCTGCTTCCAAACCCATTTTCCCCAAACAAAAATCGTTTCTAGAGCCTTGCCGCACCCGCCGCCTCTCTGTCTACCCAGCCAAACCACAATCACAAAAGCAAACATCGCTCCCAAACCCATTTTGCCTTACCCTGATGAAAATCGTTTTCTGCTTCGACACTCAACCATATCCAACCAAGCTTAGCACATATCCCCTGAAACTAACTACTATTCGCCAAATCGCTGCGATTCACCTTGGGCTCGCAGAAATCGCAAATCGCAATCGCACAAATCGCCGCGTTCCCGCCGCGCTAAGCAAAAGACCAAGAAAGTAGTAAAAACAACTTCCCTGAACCAAACAGGTAAATCCCCCCCCCCTCAACCGCCCCTTCCCAACAACATGGGTGCTGCCCATGAACCAAATGCGTGGTTTCCATCAAATGGCAGCACCCGAATGAGGAGAATTTACCCGCCCTCCCCAACAACATGGGCTTCCATGTGGTTTTCATTGCAAGGCGAAAACATCGTGACTTGGGGATGTCCAAATAGGGAAAATCGACCCTGCGGAGAGCAAGCCAATTCGTCCGATCATCCAAACAAGACAGGTTTCCATGGTGTTGGAACTTCAAGACCAGTGGCACACCCAGCTTGCCCAAAGCACCTGAACATAAAAGACCAACATATCTATAACTATGCCTACACACGGACCAAACAAGGGAATCGATCCGCTCTCGTTTCAATTGACCCAGAAGTGCTTGGGTGCCAAATAGAGGGCCGGGGTCCTTTCAAACCTGAGAGCTAAACTTTGTGGCATATGTCACACATCCCTCTAAACTCCAAACATTAAGTCAAATTCAGGAATATGCCTCGTCTAACCAAATGGGTATCTCTTTTCTGAGGGTGCCCCTTGTTGTTTTTCTGAAGGGAAACCAGAAGGAAATCAGAAGGCAGTTGGGGGTCCACCCAAATGATCAGCAGGGTTACCATGTTCAAGGTCTGATTGCTGGTGCTCGGGGAATGACGGGCTTTGGGAATGAACCGAGTCGGTTTCCCGAAACCACAAGGGATGGTTTACAGGGGTCATATTCTCATTGCCTGCCTATGGAACCAGCAAGTCTTTGAGGGTTCAATTCCTTTAAAACCAAAGAGGCACGATCAATTTACGGGTGGTTCAATTGAAACTGCCAATTTTGCAGGTTCCAAAAAGCGAAATGGCTGGTGGAACCCTCTTTGAGGGTCCAACTCCCTGAAAAAAACATACGATCACCTCTTTTGAGGGTCCAATTATCCCTTCAAAAAAAACAACACACACCAATTCTCTTCAAAAAAAATGAAACACACACACACACATGATCCAAGAGGAGTCCTGGGACACGGTGTAGATGCCCTGCTCTGTCATGACCATGGCCTGGATCGAGGACCCATGGGCCGCCCGCACCTCGCAGTGCCGGCCGATGGCGTCCGCGTCCACGCGCACCACCGCCTTGCGCCGCCACTCCTTGCCCTGGCAAAAGATCAGCAGAGGGGGGAAAAGTTCCTACTGGGTGCGACACCATTCAGAAACTCTGGAAGGATTCGATTCCAGAAAAAAAAACAGGTTTCATGGATTCTCAGGTTCCTACTCGGTTGCTTTCTGCGAAGCCCTGCTAAAAGTGACTAAATTTTAGTGGTTTAATACGGAAAACCCATTAGTTGGCAACAAGTTAAAGTCCTAACATCCAAGCAAAATGCGCCAAATCCTACTGTGGATGGTGACAAAATCCTCTTAGGCAACACCTGAGAAATCCTGGAATGATTCGATTCCGCTGTAAATAACAACAAACTTCGGTTTCCCATGGATTCTTAGGTGGTGCAGGATTTCGTCCATCCACAGTAGGGGTTGGGTATAACTCCAGGGAAAGGTTCATAGAATTTGTTTGTTGTTTTTGAGGTGCTTTGGAAAGGAAACCAGAAGGAGTGATGGTTCAGTTTGTTGTGATTCCCTTGCAAGAAGTCAGCTTCCCTCAAAAAAGGTGGTTTCGGTTGGTGGGTTGGTGAGGGTAGGGGATGGCTTCCCATTCATCTTTACGAGAGCAAGAGGCTGGACGTTCGCTTCTACCATGGTGCTTGGCGGACCCGGGTAAAAGTTGAGCGGGATATGGTATGGGTCAAACTTCAACCGCTAGGAGACCGCAGGTTTGTAGTCCTTGGTTCCATTTATCAGGGTCCATTTTGGGTATCTATGGTTGACCCACAGCCATGTCATTCATTCCAAGCGCTAAAAGTCGAAAGGCTGGGAAGGGCCAAGCAACATAGGCATAAAGTTGTGGGTGTCCTAATAGATCCCCATTCGACTGGCAGAACCACATACTAGAATGCCCAAAAAACAAAGCGAGAGGCACTCGTCTTCAAATGAGTTCTAGACTACTGTATTCCATGGTTGAAAGGGTTCGTCCTCATGTCTACTTCACCCTTTGGATAGCATGGAGAAACATCAATCTTGTGTAGTGGGACTCCCGTTCCCAAGATGATTTTGTCACTTCCATGGGATTCCCCATTTGTGCCACACAACATGGCCCTCACATATCCATTACCTGCAGGTTCAATAAAACATGTTTAGAGCTACCAATCAAGGAACACATACCAGGTCATCAACTTATCGATAATTTTGTGACTTGGAGCGAAACATATATGCTGTTCGGAGCTTCTTAGCACGCAAGGGACGCTTCGGTTCTGCCAAGGGCATGCAAACCAGATCTCCCCAAACAAATCGCGGAAGGGAGATGCAGGGACCCCGAAAGGTTCCCCGGTAACTCAAATGCTTTCAACAACTAGAATTAGCACAAATTGGCTTGTTTCCTAAACAGCTTGGAGCCCTTTTACATGGGTTCCAGTTGGCTCCTTCCCGCACGCCGGGAGGCTTCCTGTTGGCTGTGCATCAAACACCATCTTAAACAAGTTCCAGTTTTGCCCACTAGCTACTCGCCTAGGAACGAACAGAAGGATCCCCAAAAAACTCCTTAAGCATTTCCAGAGAATATCCGTTGGAGAATCCTTTGACGTCTTGACTTTCCACCTAAAGGTTCTTTCAAAGGTCCTGGAGCTTTGGATCAAAGGGGACTGTACAGGTCCAAGCGGTTTCAGAATTAAAGAGCCCCTGGTGTTTCTAAGAACTGTGGAGAGTCCACCATGTCCCCCCAAGACAAAATATCCCGAATCGCTTGTGCCCCTCCCTAGGTCTCCCCCCGACCCGACCACCAGCCCTGGTTTGAAGAATCTCGCTCTGGTTCCCAGAAAGCGACCGGCTGGTCGTGTACACCAATGGCACTGTGGGTTGCGAAATCCTCTTAGGCACCACCGTTCAGAAACCTTGGAATGATTCGATTCCGCTGATGCCAAAGCTTCAACCACGGTTTCAAAGTGCTGCGAAATGGTTTTCGTCCGTCCACGGTGGGGAACCTCGGAAACTTGTGGTTTCCCCAGTGATTTCCCCAAACACGTGGACTCTCTTGGCAAAATCAACAAAATGTCAAGACCCTGAAACATGTTGCCCAAGCCTCCCCACCCCAACGCCATCAACTCCCACCCCAACTCCATCAACTCCCTGGCCTTGTGGCCTTTGCCTTTGCCCTTGCCCTTCTCGCCCTTCTCCTTGCCCTTGCCCCACCCTGCCCCGCGCCGGGGCTTCAGCGCATCTGCCTGCCGATTGGGGGGCTCCCGAACCAAAACCCCCAAGCCACAGCCGAGGTGAAGCCTCTTCCGCCGGTCTTGACTTCTCCCAGGCGGTGAGCAAAATGTACAAAACAATGTTTGTGATTGTACAAAACTATTTGTACAGGAAAACGGTGTTTGTGTTTGCTTGTACAGGACAACCAACATTTGTACAAAGCAATTCTTGAATCCCCATTTTTGTTTAAAAAAGTCCCCATTTACGAACATATGTGCAACAAATTGTTGCTCCCCCCCCCCCTCAATGGGTCCCGTAAAAAGTGGAACGGTGTGATTGAAACGGGTATTCGTCCGCTGTTTTCCCGAAGGCGACACCGAAAACTGGCGTGTTGCCCTGCCGAGGTTGCCGTCCGCACCAAAATGTCTGCAAGGGGTGTCTTGGGTTGCCAAACAGCCAAACAAGTGACATTTGCCTCCACTCCTTTTGTCCTTGACGGGACCGGAATCTTGTTTCCTGCCTTCCAGTTGGGTTGTCTTATTAAATTACGGACCCTCAATAGGCTTCCCTTTCAGAAAAAAGCTTCCCTGAACAAACAAGACGCACTGTAGTTTGTTTGGGGTACCCTAAACCAACAGGAAAACCACCGGACACATGAAGTACCCCCCCAAAAAAAAGATGCTGCTTTCCATTTGGTTTCTACAGATACCCCATCAAAAAGGTGTTCCCTTAACCAAAGGCGCCACACTCGTGTCGTGCTTTTTCCATCTCTCCTTGAGCACATGCCGGGTATCATGACCCCAGTGGGAGCCGCCAGATCCACGCCCGCGCCCGCGGTGCTGTCCCTTCCCAGCGGCGGTTTTGGCGACGACGCCCCATGTCCAGCTGCCGTCTCTCCGCCCGCGGCCCCGCTCTGACATTGTCTGAGCCCAAGCTGCGAGTGTTGTTTTTTGGCAGGCGACGAGTCGGTTTGGTCCATAGAAGAAACTGAGCCCAAACTAAAGTTAGGGGTCGTGTCCACCAACCGCTTTCCAGGTGGCTCTTTCTCCAACCTCGCTGTCATATTGCTTCATATTAGGTGGATTCTTTGGTGTACCCAGTTTTGGGGTTGTTTTAAAGGGAAACAGCAACGGAAACACCATGTGGAGGTTAACATATATTCCTAGCTTCAAGCCCCATAAAGCACCCTATGAACACACAAGAATGGGAGAAAGGGCCCGACAAAGCACACAAGAAAGCGCACAAGTGCAAAAGCTGAGATCCATGAAACCAAACGCAACAGGCAAGCGGACACAAGACCTGGCAGGAGAAGACCCATCATGAAAACTAACTTCCAGCCTAGAAATGCCACGGTAGCCTGGTAGTTTGGTGTTTGCTTCAAGGGCGGGGGGGTCCATGAGAAACAAGCGGCCAATGAGCAAAGAAGAAACAAGGGGCCGCACGAAAAACACCTGTCGTAGAAAGCAGGACGCTAAAGGACCAAGTCCTTTCAAGCCAGAAAAGGAGCAAACATCATGAGTCAGAATATCTGATGGATGAAAACCACAGTTGGAAGCCAGCCACAACTGGCTCTGTCCATGGCCGCGCTGATGGGGTGCCTAGGTGGGGGTGTCAGTATGGAACTTGTGTCAAGGTGTACTGGGCTCAATTATTGCTTTCCCAAGAAAACCCCAACTCACCTTCACGCATCAAACTGACAGGTGCAAGTGGGAACCCACGCATCGGCAAAGCCATCTCCAAGGCAGTGAGACAAGCCACGCTCCATTCACAGATCCCTTGGAGGATCCCACGCACACGCACACACACCACCTCCCCGACATGCCCTTCACCCTGGCAGGAAAGCCAAGAGTGACAAAACCAGGAGATGCATTTGTGGGGTGCGTCTGGGGAAGTGGTGGGAGCAGCTTCATGATTCATCACATACGCCATGCCCTCAGTGTTGTGCGCTTCCTTTTTCATGGTTCCCGTTTGGGGCCCAAAGGGAACAACTTGTCCGGAAGGGGGGGGGGGGCGGGTTCCGGAACCTGGATGTAATTAAAGAAAAAATGCCATGAACGAGCTTTATCTGGTCAACTGCCTCAACACATCATGCCAGTTCATTAAATCTCCAACTGGGGTGTGCTTCGACTTCCACGCAGCAACAGACATGTACGCTCCCAGCCGCCCATCGCGCGTATTGGCTGGGACCAGCCCAAAACCACCCTACAACGAGGATCACCGGCCGCTGGCCTTCCGCTGACATTCTCAAATTTGCCATGGACAAACAGACTTGGGTCCGTCTGTTCTTGACGGAACGTCTCAGAACGGGGAAGCTTTAAACTGGTTGTTTAGTGTTTGGGCTCCCATTGAAACAAACCAGACATGGATGCCCTCATGAAAGAGAAACGCAGTTGAGCTGGAAACAAATGTATTAAAACTCTTATCCCAAGTTGTATTCATTGCAAATCCAAGCGGCGGTCTTCATAAGCATGAGGTCCCCCAATAGCAAGAAAATGCAAAATATAGAAATGGGCCACTCCTGCTCCAAGCAGTTTGGGGGCATCTGCGGGCTGTGCGCGCTTGCGCGGGACTTGCGCGGCCCCATGTTTGACTTGCGCGGCCGCTCCTGCAACACACTCCTGCCCTTCAAATTACAAGCGGCGGTGCAGCTGTTTTGATACGTCCAAAACACCTGGGATCATGCCTTACATTGACACATAAACTTTTTTCTCCGGCTCAATTTGTTTCAGATGACATCTTTCTGGCATTGGAGGGTATCACCAGCTGTGCTTGTGCTATCATGTCGATCTCCTAGTTTAAGTGGCCGAAAAGTGGGGCCCCTTTGCTTCGACACATACCCATAGCATTTGCACAAGTAGCTTTCTTAACCAACCAGGAAGCTAAGATCTTAGAATTGCTGCTGAGTTTTTCCCTCCAGGGATACCCGCTAACCTGATATTCCTTGTCCAACCATCGCCGAGTCTTCTGGAACCATGCTAGTGAATGCTGATCTCAATGTGTATGTGTGTGTGTGTTGTGTGTGTGTGTGCGCGTTCTTTTTGAGGGTACCCCTTTTTGGGGTGCTTTCAAAGCACGCCAAAGGGAAAATCACTGTTTCTGGTGTCCCCTGTTTTCTGACACCACACGAACAAACAAACAAACAAGCAAGCAAGCAAACAAACAAACAACCAAACAAACAAACAAACAAACAAACAAACAAACAAACAAACAGAATCCATCATAGTCGGGTTTGCATGGTCCAGGGAGATATCTCAGGATGTGCTGCGCATGCGCGGGCAAGACAAAACAGGTGAGTCGCAAAACTAAGGACACCCAATGACTCTCCCAAATCCATCTTTAACCCCTGCAGTGATGCTCTGTCGAACCCAAAGATCCCCGAACCCCATCAGCTGGCAGTGCCTAATACGGCCGAATGAGCTC